GCGTGGAGGCCACAACCCCCTGTGCATTCAATTATCGTTGGCCTCGCAGTTGGCCATTGTCTCAGGGTCCCAGGTCCTGTCCCCCTGTCCCAGCAGCAAATTCGCAAAACTAATGAAGTGCTGCAGCTCCTTGAGCAGCCTGCTAATGCCACTAGAGTCCTTTTCCACACTGCCTCCTCAGTTGCCTCGGCTTCCTGCCGGACTCTTGAACTCCTCAGCCACTTGGCCGCATGTATAAGCATGTTTTCTGGTTTGCTTCACAGACAAAGCTTAGAACCACTTAAGAAAATCCATTCACAACCTGAAACTAACTAGACTCCTGGACTAGAGTCCTGCCTTTGGCTGTGTGTGTGTGAGTGTCCTGCAAGGATTTTCGATCCGTTCCGTCTGAGGTTTGGTCGGTGTCGTTTTTGCTGGCAAAAGAAAACTCACCTGATGACGGTCCCAAATCAACATATGAAGCAAACAACAAAAAGGATTAAGTCCAAGACACACACACACTGGCACATACCCGCATGCAGGATACAGCATCCAACATACGGCATACAGCTCATGGGCTCATGCATAGTTTTACATGTCTAAGGACAAAAAATGAATTTATTGCGCAACAAAAACAAAGACTTGACAATTCCAAAGCCTAACCCAAGAGGCCAAAGCCGAGGCCAATTTAGCAGCTGAGGTGGAACCCGGAGAGCCGGAGAGCGGGTTTCGGGGCAAAAGGATTCAAATAAATTACCGCTACGGGCCATACTTATTTCATTAGGATTATTTTTGACTAACATTTACGGCCTGCCTCCCCCCAAGACTCGGGTAACATTCGGAGGAGAGTCAAGTCAAAGGATTCCCTGATTTCCGGCCATATCCGACTGGACAGCCTTCGATTTGGAAGCCGGTGAGAGGGCGCTAAACGCGAACAACAGGCCACGTTACTCGTAAAAAGAAAGAAAATGCCTCGCGGCATTAATTATAATCCGCTTAAAAGTTTCAACATGTTTTTCCCAGCCCCGAAAGCCCTATTCGAAAGCAAAAAAAAAATAAAATAAAAAACACACGAATACAAATACGGCGGCACAAAAAACGTTCAAATCTCGAAATACGCCTCTGACTCAGAGTGGCGACTTAGCCGGGGAAAAGAATCAAATGCAAAGTGCAGAAAATTCGCAATGTGCACAAGTGGAACTCGAACTGTTGAAGAGCATTGACTTTTGATTTGGAAAAGAATTTACAGGGGATAGGAGATCATTCCGAAAAGGCAGCTCAAAAACCCTCAACTTACATCGCAAACCAATCGTAATCCTAGAAAAAGGGATAGAGTAGGGGTTAGAGAGAAATTATAGGAAAATTGGTATTAAAATAGTATTTAAAATATATATGTAGGAAAACATATGAACGTATATTATTTGAACAATAAATTCGTTGATTTCCACATATTATACATATATAATATAATTAAATATGAAGGACTATTAAAATCGTTGTTTTTTAATGTAATTTAAATCCTCTAAAAGCTAGATTTATTCATTATGTGTTCATTATCATCTCATCAGAATATAAAGTGCCTTACTTTAACTAGTCTTAAAAATAATTCAACCATAATAATTTCAGCTGCTCTTGAGAAGATTAAAGATTCAACTTGTATATTATTCTTTTTATATATTAATACAAATACTCAGATTTGTAAATTTAATTGGTATGCCTCCTTTGATTTCTCACAAATACCTAATCTCTTATAGCGATTATCAAACGATCCAAATTAATTGGCCTTCCTACTGGGTTACTTTAGCAGTTTCCAATCGCTACCCCTCATTGGGTTTTTGTATATAGTTAATCTTTCATTTCCAAGGTATTCATTATTCTGCAAAGGCAAAGGCAAAGGCAATTGTTAGATAGCTTATTTTACCCGTGTCCTGGGGCAAAAGGACCAAAACTCACCCGGAGGCAAGACGCAAAGACCGATTTTCATTTTATTGTCCTGCTTAATATGTTTGTTTTTCTTTTGAGAGTGCACCAGGGCACCAGGAAGTGCAGGGAAAGCGCAGGGACTAAGGCAAGGATATGGCCAGGAAGGCGAAAGGTGTGAGATGGCAGCCAAGCGGAAGGCTCAGGCGGGTGTGCTGTGTGCGTACGTGTCCTGGGGAAAGTTCTTAAGTCGCATCCAAGGGATGCCGTGGCTGCTGCAGAGAGAGCTGTCGGAGGCATTATAAATTAAAATGCACGCATTAAAAATTCTAGTAAAAAAGAGTTTGCAATTAAGTAGGACTTAAGTTGAAGTGTAAATAAAAATTCACACACTCGAGCGCACGAGCGGAGATCCCTTAAGAAGGACATGGAAATTTGTTTTCTGGCGTGAAGTGAAGGAAAAACTTGTGGCAATTTCCTTAAGACTATTGCTTAATTTCCGGTCACTCTTCCTTGAATACATCCCTTCTCACACACACGCTCGCACACCCCCTCATATGAACAACCGCCCAAAAAGGACACACACACACACACATACACATACAGGAGAAGCCTATTTAAGTCCCTTGAAATCCTTGAGATTTTTTGCACTGGTCAAGCAATGATAAGCAAATTTCCCAACAGTTCACTTGGCTTAAGACGAACCCTTCTCCCACTGCCACTGCCTGTCCGTTCTGGTTATTAAAACTTTTGGTCTGTTGAAATTTTAATTTTCCTAAATACCCAAATCACTCAAAATCATTTTAATAAGTAAATTATGAGCATTCTGCCTATAAATAAACAATCACACAATTTATTCCATCGAAAAAGTCGAGGAAAGACTACAAATATTTGCAGTCCGTTCAAGGATACTTGAGTAATCCTTTGCCAAGTCACCTAAATAGCTCTGCCTGCCCGAGGAGAGAGCCAGAATATGTGTGCGTCCGTGTAGGGATTAAATCGTTTTGATGTCCTTGCCAGGGCAATTTATAATTATTTGTTTGCCTCGGCCTGTGGTCAGCCAATTGGTCAATTTCTTAGAAGAAAGTCGAGTGGATAAAACTTTTCCTACCCTTGCTACCTCCCTCACACTTTATGCACATGAGATGTTTCTGGATACTTTTCAAAAGATTATAAGTCCCCGGGGCCAGGGACTCGAGAAGGACGAGAGATGGCTCCTGGCAGCATCCTTGAGCTGGGAATTTTCCAATTTCAGTTGATTGCGATGACTGAACTTGATTATTTCTGCTGCTGCCATCGATGCAGGTTAATAAATCTTAAGCCGCGTGGCGGTTCGCGTTCGAAGATATTGCCTTAGCCCCCCAGAATCTAGAGTTCATTTACAAATCGTTTCCCGGCTTAGAAGAGAGAAGGTGTGGGAGGGGGCAAGGACTCGTCTGACTGCCTTGCCAAGATTTAATGCCCTCAAACAAGGAGCAGGGAGCAGGAGCAGAGAACTCTGCGCATTTAATTCAATTTGTTTTGGCCCGACTTGGGCTGTCTCGATTACTTTCCATTTTTTTTCCTTCTCTTCCCCGTGCTCTTCCTTGCTGGCAGTGCAAGGACTGATAATGCTAATAAGGATAAGCTCTGTCTGTGCCATCGTTGGCCGGGTGACTTAAAGCTGCTGATTCCGGTGGCCATCAGTGGTTAGGGAAATGCCAGAAGGTTGCGATATTATGGGGCTGTGCCTGGTGCAACAATTAGTGGGTGCTCGATGGCTTTGGGCTGCACACTAACTCCACCGCACACTAAACGCACATGCAGGTGGGAGCCCGGGAATCCGCTTTTGTTTTTAGCCCCATCAAAACACGGCTCCATGGATAATGGATATATTGGGTTTATAATTCGGTTGCAACGCACAACGAGGACCGTCATTAGCGACCATCGAACATAATGCCTGAATTTCGAATCTGAATCTGGTCCCGGTTGCTAATTTCGTTTAAATTTCCACATTTTGTGTAAATATTATGAGCGAGTACCGGACATCGATTGAATTTAATGGGATTATTGCTGTAACTACCGGGGACCCCTTAAAGTTCCTAGAACGTTGCGCGTTGATCTGTGCCGGTGACAAACAATACATTATAGTTGAATTCTTTATTCCTTTTCAACTCGGCAGAACACACACACACGTTCCGCCCCGGCTGGGTCTGATGTATTTATTTTTAATGCCAATGGCCCCCAATGAGGTTTTCATGGCAATTAAAAGATTTGCATGGCCCACACACACGTACACACACATCCGTTGTTCGCACAAAAATATGGCATGAAAATCGCACGTAATTGGGCTGAACTTTTGGTTGGTCGATCCCAACCCGTACATCCCTCGTTTTGTTTCGACTTTAAAACGCTTCCAGCTGTCCAGAGTCCTGCGTCCTGCGTCCGGCGTACCGCGTCCTGGTTCCCGGCTCCCAGCTCCGGACACGGCAAATGCCAATCGTTCGCCAATCTCTGGCTGCTTACAATTTTTATAATTGGAATAATTAATAATACCATTATGTTGGTCGGACCTGGGGCGTTAAGCCTATTTGGTGCCTGGCCCCGCCCACCCGGAAGCCTCACTTTCCCGTTCCGTTCGGCGTTGTAATGGTAAATCGCCTATAACTTCTATTTTCCCAATTTTGGCAATTTAATTTTAAGCCTTTGATAATTGGTCGAGAGGCGAAGTAGTAGTATATATAGTAAATTTTGCCAAGCAATGTGAAAAAAATGAAGAGAGTATAATTCATAATTTTTTTTTGGGAAATTTCAAGTTCTTTGGTGGAGTTTTTCCCCGGGGTCGTGGGTGGTTTGGGTGGCTATTTAAGCGGCTAAAACCATTTGCGGTTAGCCACAACATGCAATAATTTATTTTAATACTTTGGTGCGTGCGAGCCAATCTGCATATAAAGCCCCATTTCGAATATGTTTTAATTGCTTATTTTAATTTGTCGATGATTTGCACTTGGAACTAGACGGCACTAAACCGATTATTAAACAGCACTCGAGTGCAGTCCGGGCTTATATTAGTCGGCATTATTTCTAACCATTATTTTTCCCGCTCTCTCTGTTGCTTTTAGCCAAATCACTTCCACTCCATTGTGTGGTGGAGTCGGTGCACTCTCTGCACGCCTCCCTGACCATCGATACGCGTCAGCCTTGGAAGCGGAGGCCCAACATTGAGACGGATAGCTACGTGATCATTGCCGCTGCCACGCCCTGGAGCGAGATCGTTCAGACGGCCCTCCAGCGGCTAGGTTACTCCCAGGAGGTGGCCAACACAGCCAGAGGTGAGTCGGAGGTCCTTTGAGGCAGCAGAGTCCCTTTCTAGAGCAGCCCTGCTCATAGATATCCTTTAATTGGACTTTTCTACCTCATAGATATTTAAATTATATACTAATCAATCATTATTCTCTACCCTACTCTATAGGCTCTCTAATAATCAAACACTGGAAACCTATACCCCTTGAGCAGATATCGGATAATCCGGCAGTGCCGGTTAGTGACATTGTTGGTGAACTGACCTCGGTGATCACACTGAGGATCGTTATCCTGCGGCCCAAGACATCACCCTTTGGGGAGATCAAGGACAAGCTGCTCAAGCTTCTGGTGCTGCAATCGCATGCGGTGCTCCGCTCCACCGGCTGTCCCCTGGATGAGGTGAGTTTTTCACTACTGCCAACTCCAACTTCCTTTTCCCACACTCATACCCAGCCAATTAGGGATTCACTTTGAACTTTCACTTAAAATTCTGCACTAAGACGACGAAATTCTATAATGATTCATAAGCGGTTTACCCAAAGCAGAAGAGCTGCCCCAGCTCCCCTGCAAGCTCTTATCCGACTTGGAGTTGCCGAAAACTTGCCGAAAAATGTCTCCGGATGAGAAGTGGCGACGCTAATTTGCGTGATGTGAGGCATTCAGACACACGCAGACAAGGAGCTCGGCTTTTGCATGTCCTGGCTGCTCCTGGCTGCTCCTTGCTTGTGGCATATTAAACGCATAACGCATTGAAAATGTTTTGATAGCGACTACAAAGAAATTTTGTTAAGCCGAGTTCATTTATTTGGTTCACTTAACTAATCCTTTTTTGCAATAGTTTTCATTTTAATCAGCTTTGCGTTGCCTTGTCCTGCCTCCTCCAGGATGTGCGTGTGTGCTGGGGCGTGCACATGTGTGTACGTATGTGTGTGCCTGGCTTTTGTTTTCCTTATTGCAATCGGTTTAGAAGGCTTAGTTTAAATTCCGGGAGGAGGGAGGAGGGAGGAGCTAGCCCACTGCATGCCTCACATGACCCAATTCCGTGGGCGGGGAACAGTTACGATATCGATGCATTAGCGCCATAAATCATAGACCGCGGCATTCGCTATCATCGCAAGCGATGAACAACACGAAATCACGGCCAGAAATACCCTTCAATTGATATTGCGACTGCTATTTTATTGGCCCCGAAGCAAGCTCCCAGCCCAGCCCCACCACCGATTAATATTAGCAAAGTAAAGCAAAGCGAAGCAAAGCACGGTACGGCAGTTGTCGTCCCTCCTAATCACATGATAAGCATTTACCATAATTTCCACATTCGATTGTCTGACACCTCCGCCGAGGCAACCAGTGTCCGTCCGTCCGTCCGTCCGTCCCGCGGAGGAGCTTTTTGGGGTGCGGCGGCGATAGGAAAATCAATTTAATAATACCCTCAGTACGTAAGAAGCGTCAACCCATTTTTATTTACAATTAGGTACCACCAGCACCTAACCCACCCAACCCACCACCCTTCGGTGAGCAGCTTAAGTGATTTGGGGCGCCTCCTTAGCTGATAGTGTGTGGAAAAAGCACCAGCGACCAAACCATCCACCAAAACAACAGCAGACATTATCTTTCCACAGTTGGGAGACAAAGCAGTATCTATGAGCATTTAATACGCCATACCTGGCACCCTTTGGAGCTGTGCCCGGGCCAACTCATCGCATTTCGATTCTATTTCTGTTGGGTAAATTCAATTTTAATCGCCATAAGCTGATGTGTCGCTGCCTATCAGGGACTATCTATTTATCGCCTTCGATTCCGAGGCACTGTCTGTTAATATCAGCTCCGTGCGGCGGTATCAGTACCGTTTGCTCCCCAGACCCCCGTATTCTATATCGTAATAGGCAATTTTGGACTCCGCCGACTCGCCGTGTAGCACTCGCACATTTATGGCTAAGTAAATCCCGCCACTTGAGGCCAGTCCCAAACCCCCTTCGATACCGATACCCCGCAACCTGGCGACTGTGATTTTTATGACAGACGCTTAGCGAGCGGCGGACCTGGGGTCTTAGTAGCCACTGTTGACAGTCGCTCAGTGCAAAGCAAGTCCCGGCCCAAGGTTGCCCACTAATCCCTTGCATTGCGCTCTGATTTTCCACACGGAACACACGGAATTTCCATGATCGAATCGCAACAATGGGGGGTTTTATGTAACTATGCGAGCTAACATTATATATAAAATCAAAGTTATAGCTCAAAGTTAATGAAATCCTTTTGAATCTTTTTCCTTGCCAGGTCACGCTCTCCCAGATCTGCCGGAGTTCGCACCAGAATACATACGCTTTGCCTGGCGGTGAAATCTCCGATGATTTGCGCCGCAAGTTTGACCAATGGTGGTCCAATCAGCTCTCTCCCCAGGCAGCAGCCATGGCGCCCAAGATGCTGCCCTTTATGACGGGTCCTTCGGCAGTGCCAGTTCCAGTGGCAGTTCCCGGTGAAATGGATTTCCCGGTGGGCACGGCCATGGCAGCGGCGGCAGCAGCTGCTGCCCATGCAGCCGCAGCAGGAGGAGCAGCAGTTGGTGGAAATCCCCTCGGCTCAATGGGCAGCCGGGAGAGCCTGCTGCTGGCCAATGAGGCGGCTCATCATGCTGGACCAGGACCAGCCCCAGGGACAGGACATCATGGCAGTATGCTAGTGCACCCGATGCACGCGTCCATGCACCATCACCACCACCATGGAGGAAGTGGACATGGGCCACAGTATCCCAACCAGAAGACTCGCATGCGCACCAGTTTCGATCCGGAGATGGAGCTGCCAAAGCTGCAGAAGTGGTTTGCCGAGAATCCGCATCCTTCGCGTCAGCAGATCCAGACCTATGTGGTTCAGCTGAATGCTCTGGAGTCGAGGCGGGGTCGCAAGCCGCTGGATGTGAACAATGTGGTCTATTGGTTCAAGAATGCCCGGGCAGCACAGAAGCGGGCCGAGATGAGGGGCGGGAGTTTGGGCAGCGCCATGAGCGCCTTGGGTCATGCCGCCATGAATGGCTATCTGAGCCAGCATGCTCCGCTGGGCCAGAACTCCAGCAGCAGTGCTGGGAGTCAGCCGATGAGCATGGGTAATCTGTCCATGTCGCACGATTATCTAAAGAGTCCCCTCAGCCTAAAGTCGGAGGATATAGACACCATGTCGCAGCACTCGGACGACATGGAGGATGAGCCCAGCAGGCCTAATACCCCGCAGCTGCCGCTCTCTCTGACCACGCACGAGCGTCATCGCAGCTCTCCGATGATGGACGAGGACGAGGATGAGGCATCCGAGCAGCAGCAACATCAACAGCAACAGCAGCAGCAGGAGGCCAAGAGCTCTGGCAGTGATGGTATGAACGGAAGCCTCAACGAGGAGGAGCGCCAGGAGAAGTCATCGCGGGATGACGAGCAGCAGGACAACGAGAAGGAGAGCTCCGGCGCCGAGGAGCGCAACCAGGATAGCAATCCCCAGATAGAGACCGGCTCCAACCTCAATAACAACAATAACCATAACAACAGTTCGCACAACGATCCGGAGGTAAGCTCCACGCCCAAGCGTACCACGCCCAAGGAGGAGGACGATGACCTGGACATGGACGAGGACGAGGAGGACAATGAGAACGATGCCAGCCATTTGGATGAGTTCCGTTCGCCCTCGCCGGACATGGCTGGTGGCGTGGTGCCGCACAAGGACCAGCTGCCCTTTCCCATGGTGCCCAACTCGATGTTCTCGCAGTCCTTCATGTACATGAGCCACTACATCCCGGCCTTTGGCCAGGCGGCAGCCGGACATCCGCATCACCATGCCGCTGCTGCAGCGGCAGCAGCCGGAATCCAACCCAATGCCCTTATGGGCGGCGGTGGCCTAAACCTGTCCAGCATCTCGAACGAGGAGCGACGGAAGCGGAATCGCACCTTCATCGATCCTGTGACTGAGGTGCCCAAGCTGGAGCAATGGTTTGCCATGAATACGCATCCCTCGCACAACCTGATCCTCAAGTACACCGAGGACCTGAACACGATGCCATATAGGTGAGTTCGAGGGCCTCATAATCCTTTCTTCCTTTCTATTTTGATTTCAATATATGCAATAGAATATCCTTCAAACTATACAACCTTAATTAATCCAAATCATTATCTATTTATGTTATTTCCAGGCAAAAGTTCCCGCGTCTGGAGAGCAAGAATGTCCAATTCTGGTTCAAGAATCGCAGGGCCAAGTGCAAGCGGCTCAAGATGTCGCTCTACGACAGCAATCAGTGCGCCCAGCTGGGGGCCTTGGCTCCTTTGTGCCCAAGTACGAGGAGCGGGATTAGATGGGTCCAGAGTTTGGAATCAAAATTAGAAGCATTTCTCCATGTAAATAGTCGGACACGAGAGAGAGAGACACACCACACACCCCCAATTGAAGCAGTTCTATGCCACAGCTGCAGCTATGACAAATACTATATCCTATACGATAGCTGATAAATATGTAATCCCTAGTTTAGTCCACTCTAAGTATTATAGACCGAAAAACTAACCCAGTTACGCGTTACCAGTTTGCCAGAAGCCAGGAGCGTCTAGCGATAAATTTAGAGCAAAATAGATAAAGCCACTTACGAGTAATACGATCTTGCATGAACATCAGTATAAACTTATAGCTGGTACCCTTAGCCCCATCCAGTATACCCGCATCTATTTCTACCTAGTTCTAGCCGTCGATATATATGTAGCAGAATAAGTAAACCAAAGAAAGCCAATTTTTGAGAGAGACGATGATCTGCGATCTGTATATAGAGTATGTTAATCTTGAGCATTGTGAATTTGTTTCGGTTTTAGTTGACCCTTCGTGACCGCGGACTAAGTTAACGCCTAAGTTTGAGTTGTACCAGTGCACTAGTACGTTTAGTTTAGTTGTCCCGCCTTATTTTCGAGCAGCCACCAGTACCCCTTGCCCCTGCCGCACATGGAATGTATAACATATGATTCGTTGCTCTTCAAGCCGTGGTATCTAATACCAACAACCCCCAAAAAAGTAGCTGAGAACACCCAATCGGCTTCGCTCTCCCCAAATTCCCCAATTCCCCCATTTCGATTCAGAATAAAATCTAATACTGAAATGAAAATGTTTTTAAAAAATAAATTGTTCCATTAGTTTCGTAAGCCTTCAGATAGAGAATACAATTAATTCAGATAATATTGTAATTTATTGCAAGCATCAATACACACACACAGAAAAACAAAAGAACACAAAAACAAACATACAGCGAACACACATCCACACATCTTTATATATAATATAAATAGAAATATATTCCCCCAGCAATTATGAAATGATTAAATAAATACAATTTTAAATGTCAAATTCAAATGGTGACATTTTTCTTTTGGGGAAAGTGGATATAAGAAAGATGAGAGTCTGCGAGTTCTTCAAGAATTTAAATTGAAAATAGATTTTCCAATGATAAGAAGTAATTGTTTTCTGAAACTTGTGGGGCTTTTACTTGGGGTTTCTTGGTTACTTAAACTTGATGAGATAAGTTTTAATAAAGACCTCTTTGATAACAACTGAAGGTATAAGCTCAGTAAGTGTCATGTTTAAAGGAAGAAATAATATTAGTTGTTAAGAAAAGCATTCTCTTTATGCTGCACCTCATTAGGAGGAGTTCATAAATTACCATAAAAGAGCGCATTTGCAATCTGTTGAGGTTGAAGGCATCCCTATTTCCGGTGGCGCCTGAAGCTAATGTGCTGATGCAGTCGTAATGGGTTTCGCCATTTCTCATGTGTGCCACCCAGATCTTTGCTTTATTTCTTTTTCAGCTATTTTTTTGGGTAAGTAACTGATAAGCGAAAAGGGAAATAAATATGCATGTACATATACGAGAACGAATGGCAATATGGGCACACGGGGCGTATGAGCTATCTCCCATTGCGCTCGCTCACTCTCGTACATCTTCCGTGGAGATATGAAACAATTTATTAGCACCAAAGTTTACTTATTTTCCCATTTCTTTATTTCGCTCGCCTTTTGTTACATCCCGCAGTCACTTGCAGATAGCACGGGGGTGGCCTTCCCTGTGGTTAGTAAATCAGTGGACCACATTATTTCATATTTTTGAGTAGGTACCACCATGTGTGTGTGTGGGTGTGCGCCAGGGGATGTGCATCATTTGTTATCGCAAACTTTTAAATTAAAACTCTGGGAAGGAGTGGCTGTGGGACTCCAAATTTATGGCATATCTTTTGGGTAGCAGCATATTGGACTAGCTGCTTATTTATGGATTTCCTAATAACGAGCGAAACTGTTGCATATTTCTGGGCTGAGTTCAGCCAAAGAGAAAGAGAGCTGTGTCTTGAGCAAAATTACAAACTGAATAGACAGGTAAATAAATACTTGCAAACGCTGGAATTTCCCTTTCTACAACATAAATATTTACGCAAAAATATTTAATTCCCAGAGAGAGAGAGAGAGAGAGAGATGTACGGGAATTTCGCATAACTTTATCCATTAATTAAAATTTCTAGCACTTGGCCCCCGCTCTGTGGTTGGCTCACAACCGAAACTACAGCCACGCCCTCTTAGTACCCAGTACACGGTACAGACCGGTAGTTCCCCCATTTTTCGAGGGGCATTAAGTGTAAATATACATAAACAGGAGGCGAATGCAAAAGAAAACATTTACATAGTTAACTACGCCGCACTTGCGGCTGTTGGCCAACTTTCCTGGCTGGCTCAAAAGGTGCGCTCTCTCCAGTGGCGGCATAAATCTTGCTTTCGAAAACTTTTTCATATTGCCTTAATGACGCCAAATGGGGAATAAATCTGAATAATGCAATCATAATTAAGTGATGCTTCTCACAACGAGCCCCCTAGAAAATATATTGAAATATCCATTGAATTGAGACGAAGATCTTGGCTCCATTAGCAGATTCGATGCAGGGAACCATCAAAGACCAATTCCTTAGCAATTAGAGCGCGCAAGACAAAAGGGACACTGGCAGTGCCAAAAAGGACATACAGAGCAGTACAGTGCGGAAAAAGGACAAATAAGCTCTGCTGCTGGAACATAAATAGTTCTGCGGCTTTGACTGATATGCGGGGCAATAAAACTAATGAGCGTGCGAGCCGAAATAGTTGACAGTGGCTTGGTTGGTTGGTGGTTGGTTTGCTCCTTTTGGGCCAACCCACAGCACACACCCCTCCCTCTCACCCATCACTCCTCACGGGTGGTTTCGGTTTGGCGGTGGCGGCGATTCATTTGCCAAATTGAGTGCGCAAACAAACCGTAACGAAAGTCAAATGAATATAACGCAAGTCCAATTAAATGGTCATAAGTAATAATAATTCCGCTTTGATTTGTGACATTCAGTTTACACGAACCGCGATGGGGAAGCCAGCCGGACTGGGGAGAGTAAGGAAGAGACCGGTCAAAGGAGACACAGCTTCCTTTTCCGGTTGCACTTGGACAAATTAGTTAATGAGGGCCTTGAGGAAAAAGAATGTGGAAAAACGTATAGCGATGGGTAATAAATTGTTCAAACTGATTATATAGCTTATATAAAGCATAATTGAGAATATAGATTAATAGAGATTTGAGTTTGAGTTTGATATATGGAGGGACTTGATTTCTGATTAACTAAAATAATGAGAAAGTAATTACAATTTATGCAATTTACAAGTCCCAAATAAGTATTCTTTACAAGTTTAGAATTTTATAATTAATCTGTTTAAAACTTATATCTAATTTAGGATTTTCCATTAGTTTTAAGGATTTAATTGCTGTCTTATGCAGTATCTCCAAATGGGTTCCTTTCCCTTTAGTTTTGTGTACTTATGAGTAATGATCATTAAATGATAACAACCTTAGCCTGGCCAGAAGTGTGTGTAGCCTTGACTAAGATGGACTCGGATTTGCTTTGGGTCACAGGAAAAACTTGGGTCAGCAGCAAGTAACTACTTTCACATCAGGATATTGCGTAAGAATATGACAAGGGGAGCTTAAAATCTAGAGCCCATAGAAGGGGATGGGCAGCAGGATATGGGGCCAAAAACACCCCCATACTCTGTCCCTTCCCGGCATTGGGCGATTATTATTTATTATCTTAATTACGTCTTAAAATCCTCTGTGAGGCGGGACAAGCACCTGCCTAGGAGAAACAGGATGGCAGGAGGGCAGACTTGGGTGAAGCCCCCCTGCCAGTTGGCAGCGGAATCCTGTGTCCTGGCTCATGTGCTTTCCGGACCAGCAAGGAAATGTATTTGCGCGGAAAATTGTGCTTTCCTTTTTTTCGAGGGGGCGGGAGTGTGTGTGTGCCGGCGCACATGCTACCACTCTAAGCCTTCCCTTGTCTTGTCCTGCCTGTCTTTTTCGGCACCTTATCCTGCTGGCGGCTGGCTGCATCCTTCGAGAATGCCTCACCCCCACCCCGCCCTCCGCTGTCAACTGTCGTTTGTCTTGGGCGCGTAATAAAAAGACTTAACAACGCGAGTTGTTTAATTATTATTTATGACACTCCTCGTTCGGGCTCAGAGTCTGCCTGGCCAGATTATTGCCCCAAAAAATTGTTGCTCTAGGAAGATGCACAAGTTAGATTGTCGGCGCTTTGATTTACCGTCCTTCGGCGGTTAAGGACTATTTAAATCAATTGCTCGAAGGCTGAGCTTTCGCAGAGCCAAGCCCGCCGAGCTCAATCTCAATTCATTTTCATAAAATCCAAAAGTTTCGCTCGCCCATAATTTACGATGATAATTATGGCAACTGTGAATTACCCCCCAGGGAGGCTAAGCCAAGGCCCAAGGTCCAAGCTCCACGCTCCACGCTCCACGCCCACTGGGCAGGCGGAGAAATGTAAAAATGATAATCCCAATGTCAGGCGATAATTCACAGTTCCAGAAACAGGCCAAGGCCCAAGCCTCCCACTCATTTCAGCTGCTGCTGGGCAACGTCCACGGATCAACAACTAAAGGTGAGGAAAATTTCCATAAATAATCCACGGGGTTTTCTGGTGTTTTTCCAAAGTTTTTGAAGTGTTTGTGTTACTTTTATAGGATATTTTTGTATATGTTAATTATCTAATAAAGTCAGCTTTCATGTCAGATTGGTTCAGCTGATGATGCTGATCAAGAATATATTTATAGGGTCGGAAATGACTCCTTCACTGTGTTGCATGCTTCAGACTGCAATGAGAATACCCTGCAAATGGTATAAAAATATGTAAAGATTATATTTGTTAAAGTTATTTTTCATAAGTTATACTTTTACATGCTTCGAAGTATCCTTTATGGCATCTTGTACTCTGTGGCTCTGGCTGAGGCTAAGTCCTGTGAATGAATTATGCTTTTAATTGGAAACGCTTGGCGCCAAGCAAGCACTTTCTTCTCCTGGTGGCGTTGCCAAAAAAGATTTGCTCATTAAACCGCCAAAGGACTCTCCCACCCCCCGAATCACCACGCCCATCCCTTCGTGCTGTCTGCTGGCTGGTGGTGCGCCGCAGGTATAAATTTCATAAAACTAATACGAATTGATTTATGGCATTCTTTGCTGGCCTGGCGAAAGGCTTGGTTCCGCCTTGGTCCTGGTTTTTTATGCCTCCTCCCCCGGCATGTCCTTGGAGCGGTGTTCCCCTTGCAGATGGCGACGGTGGCTTCTTCTTAAATCTCACCCAACCCTCGAGGAGGCTGGCACTGCTATCAGTAGCTGGCATTTGCCTCGGAGTTTGGTCTTTGTCTAAATCTTTGCCTGCTGTCACAGGACGAGGAAACTTTTTCCGGGCAAGGTGTACCCCGTGTGAGAGAAGGGGTAAGTGGTGGGGGGAAGGGTTTTTCGCTTGGCGCGTCTTAAGCTTATAATTCATAAAGCATTTAAGTGGACGAAAATCGAAATTTATTGCTATTCAAGATATTTCCCCGGGAACGTTTTTCCCTTTGAGGCGAGCTGAGATCCAGAATGGCAAGCATTAAATGGGAATGTCTTTGGTTTGGAGTGCACCCATTCCTCTCCCCCCCCCCTGGCAGCATAACTGAATAATAAATATAATTGTCTATAAGACATTCTCAGCCAACTGAGAGAGTATGCAAATGATGGGGTCTCCTTTATCGCCACCCCATTCCCATTCCCATTCCCATTCCCAAGCCCATGGCTTCCTTTATGTTTGCGTATCAAGAACGCTACTCCTTGTGACGTATCGTCCTGCAGATAGAAGCAAATTGTTTCTCCCCATCCCCAGGACAATAAAAAAAATGAAATCTTAAGGCATAAAATATAATCAAAGCCCGGAATGCGAGGTCGTTTGTGTGGACGGGGCGTGAGTGTGTGATGAGGCCGATTAGGAGGCGTCATAATGGCGGGATATCTTTATGACATCTGAGGAAATGCTAAGCTAGCAAGCTAGCAGGATGTCCATTCCGATGCCGCCTCCAGTTACAGTTACAGTTACAGTTCGTGTCCGTGTCCATTCCCATTTCCCTGCTGGCAGGACTTCCTGGCCTCACCTGAATTCGCTTTCCGTGCTATCAGTTGGCACTTTGGTCGCCTTTGGCAGATGGAAGGACAGTTGGGCGATTTTCCGGCAGCTTGGGTGCTGTGCTGGGCTGTGCTTATCTCTCGACACCGCAGCTGTCATTCAACTTGACTTTAACTTCGGCTGCACTCCGGGTGGGCGGACGACTTAGCGCTCTGAAAATAAATAAAAAGCACTTCATTCCTTATTAAAAATCGCTGGAAATTGCCCCAATAAAGCGGAGCGAGGGCGCTGGCCAGGCCAGAGAGCTCTAAGTCAGTCCCAGATTAGACGGGAGAAATTCAAAATCAAAATCAATCCATTAACAAAAGCACACAAAGGACCCAGTCCTTGGACCGTGCGGCATTAACTTGTGATTTCAACTGCGCGAGTTCCCAACGCCAGGCACTGACTTTGCATCGCAGCGGCCGCTAATTATCCCACGGGTCGGGACAGGGGGGGCAGGACAAAAGCCAGGACTCGGCAACAAAGCCGTTGCGCTTCATTAAAACGGCAAGGACGCGGCGTGGAAAGTAAAAGGAGTGGGAGCAGGAGAGCTGCGAGCCGAGCTGCGCATCCCTGCTCATTATCCCGTGCACTTATCCGTGGCAACCGAATTCAAATTCTCGTGTCCCACAATCACTCTCTGAATAGTGAAAGGTTCGGAAAAATCGAAGGGGGGAAGGGGAAGGTCGCGTATCCTGGCGAGCTTATCAGTGGCGGCATTACGCCTGCCAGTCTTTGTCTCCCCGCCCCTTACAGAGCTGAGCAACTTACTTTTATTTTATATCGTCGCTAACCATTTAAAATCGTTCTGTTCTCTGTACTCTGGAAATGTGGAGGGGTACATAAGCTAGAGCTAAAGTTACTCCCATTTTGTTATATTAAACAAATCAATAGAGGTTGTGCCGAATATAAATTAGAGTCTGAACAAGAAATGAAAGAAACTCCATCACTGCGTTGCAAGGATACAAATTTGTATACTACTATGATTAATATAGTAGCTTGTCTTAGCATTACTTAATGTTATAAATTAGTATATCTACGTCTCCCTAGAGTGTTTAAAATTCTTCTATTTTAACACATCCTTTTCAACCTTTCGTTTTCCTCTCAATTTTTAAGATTCTGCTGTTTCCTGCTGCCCTGCCGCCTTTCGTCGTAATCAAGCCGCAAACATGTTGCTGTCAACACGTCAGCGGCGGCGGGTACTCCTGGTTTTTTATTTGCTCCTGCTTCCTTCCCAAGGATTGGGTCTGGCAATGAGACTGGGAATGGGTTCGTCCCAGCCCTACTTTCTCATTTCTCACTGCATCTTTATCGCGCTGTCGTCTGAGGCGCCGTTTCTGTTTTGCTCACGCTTCATTACAATAAATCCGGTTACGGGTGTCTGCCGGTCGCATCTGCACTCTGAACTCCACCCGAATCCTGCGGCGGAACGGGTAATTTTAATGCCCCATCAGCGCCAGTCGGAGACGAGGGAGCAGTCCGGGTCCCGGATTTCCAGCTCCCAACACTTTGCTGCAGTTGCACTTCATCGGGCGACAAGTTTATTCAGCCTTAAACGACTCCATTTGTGGCCACATCCTTGTGTTCATGGTTGATTTGTTGACATATGCTGAGACTTTACTTGGTAAATTTCAGAGAAGAGAATTATTTGGCAGAACAAAGTTAAGATTCAATCGTTTCTGATTGTTTACACATAAACTTTTCAAGCGAATTGTTACAGTTGAAGCAGATTTCTGGTATTTTCCTCTGCTCTTAACCATGACACTAGACTTGGGGAATTGTTTTTCACGCACCTTGCCACACTCGCACTTACCCCATGCAAGCGGCTGGCTTATCAGCGGCTTATCTTATCAGTCGCCGTGGAAGCCGCTGCCCGCTGCCTGCGGCCAGCAGGTGAGTAATTTTCCTCGGTCACCCAGTATTAGACAAGCAGTTGCGCGGAGAGCCTACTAAAAAAAGCACAAAACCTTTTCAAAACTTTAAATTCCAGAGGAATTCCATAAATTTGACCTTTAGAGTGTACAATGCTGAGGGCGTGGCAGCAGCGGAGAGGCAGTCAAGTTCTAAAATAAAAGAGTCCCTGACTCAAATCCGCACTATTTACACCTCGCAGTGCCTACGATTTGTTTTCGGTTACGGTTGCGCTGCTCCAGTTTTGTGCCTCCGCTCCTCTCCTCTCCTCCCCGGGAACAGATAAGATAAGTGCAGTGCAGTTCGAAAGGGGAAATACGAGTGATTAAAAAAATCCAGCAGGTGAATACTCAGTCATACATTGTGCGAGCCCAAGCTGATAGTGACGTCATTAGTTAGGTTGTGGGAATCGTCGCAATTTCTGAACTGCGTTTAAACAGAGGCCACAAGCCAAAAAAGGCCAAGAACCGAAAGGCAATGGAATTGCCTGCGCAATAGGGCTAAATTCAATCACCTTCCTTCGTCTGTCTTCCAGCCATGTGGATGGGCCTGGATCTGGTCAGCTTGCTGCTCCTGGCAACGATCTCCACCAGCTGGGCCGTGAATTGTCCCTGGCCCTGCCGCTGTGCCTGGGTGGTGGACAGCCTGTACGCGGATTGCTCGCGACGGAGTATCCACACCTTTCCCAACTTTGACGGGATTCCCGTGGAGCATCTGGATCTGTCCGGCAACCAGTTTAGCCAGTTCCCCACGCAATATGCGGACATCGACTCTCTGATCTACCTGGATCTCTCCAATAACCAGATCTCCGCCCTGGACGGTAAATCCCTGATAGGGTTCACCTCACTGAGGACCCTGCTGCTGGGCAACAACTCGATTGGGTCCTGGGAGGCCCTCAGCCCCAACGAGGCCTTCAAGTATGCCCCGAGCCTGAAGCACCTGGGCCTCGATGGCAACCAGCTGGGCAGCTTCGGCAGTGGAGAGAGTTTCGAGCTGCTGACCAGTCAGTCCCTCACCGACCTGGAGCTCTCCTCCTGCGGGATATCCGTCCTGGGTGGGGACCAGCTGATGAACCAGTTGCCGAATCTGGAGCGCCTCAATCTGGCCAACAATCAGCTGACTCAGATGGCGCCCTTGCCCTCGAGGAGCCTGCGCAGCCTCGACCTGAGCAACTGCAGCATTCAGCACTTGTCGGGCTTCTTCCTCGACTCCCTGCAGCATCTGGAGGCCTTGAATCTGTCTCGGAACACACATCTCGAGTTTGGTGGCCTCGTAGAGGATCCCGTCCTGACCTACGAGCTCCGCAAGCTGGATGTGTCCTACTGCAACCTGGACAGCATCGAGCTCAGCGGATTGCCGCAGCTCACGGAGCTGCGTCTGCGGGGAAACCTCCTTAGAATCGTTGATGCCACTAGTTTCGCCAACAACACAATGCTGGAGGTGCTGGATCTCTCGCAGAACGTGCTCCGCCTGCTGGGCCAAGATGTCTTTGCCAACCTGAAGAGACTGAAGCAGTTGAATCTGGCCTTCAACGAAATAGCCCGACTGGACAGGAACATTATCCGCAACAACGATGTGCTCGTGGAGCTAAATCTCAGCCGGAATGTGCTGCAGAAGCTGACGAGGATCGTGTCCAACTCGGTGCGCACCATCAACATGAGCTGGTGCGAAATCAGCTCTATAGAGAGCTCTGCTCTGTCGAGTCTCTCGGTTATCCAAAAGCTGGATTTGTCCAACAATCTGATTAGTGATTTCCCCACCTTTATGAGGTCGGAGACGCTGCAGCAATTGAATCTGGCCAACTGCAGGTGGGTGGAAGCAAGCTCTGAATTTAGAGGAGGTAAAAGGAATAATTGGAATTCTCTTTGCAGATTAACTACAGTGCGGAACAACACCTTCAGGGAGTTCCCCGAGCTGGCGGATCTCCATTTGAATGGCAACCGCCTGACGAGTCCCATTCCTCCCTATTACTTTGGCAGCAACAAGTTCCTGGATCAGCTCTGGCTGGGCGACAATCCCTGGATCTGTGACTGCCACAACCCACTCTTTGTGGAGTTTTATGACTATCTAACCGCCAAGCCAGCCAAGGTGAGTTTCCCCCGGGATTCCTTTAAGATTCAGCGCCTTAAGGTCCCTAGTTTTCCCCCAGATCAAAGACAAGAATCACCTGCGTTGCGCTGCTCCCGCCATTTTCTACAACAAACTCTGGGAGTTTGCCTGCGCGGATGTGTGGATTCAGAATGCCAGGAGCAGCAGTGGCGGCGAGAAGGCCTGGTCCATTATAATGATCACCCTGCTCCTGCTGGGCGGCCTTATCCTGGCCTATGCCTGCCTGCAGAAGTTCCTGAAAAAGCGCAAGATCAGGGACAATCACCGGGAGTATGCAGAGAACGATGATGAGCTAAGACGCATGTGGGTTTTATTCTTTCTCTCTGATTTATTAAACAATTTCCGTTAAACATTAATTACTCCCTCCCCTACAGACGTGATCTCAATGAGCGCATCCTCCTGGAAGATGCCACGCCGAGCATCCATCAGCAGCAGCAGGAGATCAGCCTGCTGCCCTCGTACGAGGATGCCCTGCGCATGCCCAAGCTGGTCAGGCCGGTCAAGTCGATGATGGACCTGTCGGGACCGGAGCGTGCCCGCAACTCCCGCAAGCTGCGTCGCTCCCAGACCCACGCCGAGGGCGAGGGCTCCCAGTCGGAGGCGGAGGACTCCAGCCTGCAGCTGGACAGCCGCCAGCGGTTCCGCAGCGTGGAGATGCTCTCCAACCGGGACAAGGAGCGCACCGCGCAGTACGGACCCTACCGCCGCACGGGCTACATGGAGTACAGCCAGTCGGGCAGCCGGCGCTTCAGCATCGAGGAGTCCCGCTTCCCGGCCGCCCACCTCAAGACCCAGAACTTGCAGAGCGCCGAGCAGATTGGCAACTTCCAGAGCTACGAGAACAGTCCCTACACGAAGCGCAAGCCCAAGATTGCCGAGATTCCGCCCTTCAAGCGCGTCAATATGGCGGCCGAGAGCGTGGAGTTCCTCACGGATCCCGAGTACGACGACGCCGTGGCCAGCAAGCCGGGCAGTCCGTTTGCCAAGAGGAAACCGAAGAAGTTACAGGCCCTCCCACCGCCGCCGCCCACCATGAAGGTCAGCGCCCAGGTCTACACGCTGCAGCCGAGTCCGGTCCTGGAGCTGGATCCCGCCATCGAGGACTACTTCAGTGCCGCCAAAAAGCAGGCCTCCTCGTCCACCATAGCCAGTGACTTCCAGGAGCTGCACGCCCCGGAGCTGCGGTCCCTGCCCGATGAGAGCCGCTCGAGTGTGTCCCGCTCCCCGTCGGAGTCGGAGCACGACCTGGAACGGGCCAAGCGCCGGAAGCGGAAGAACTCGTCCAGCCGCCGGGTGAGCGGCAGCTTTACGGCGGCCAATGCCGGCAATGATGGCTCCTCCTCCTCCTCCGCCAGCGACTCGGAGCAGCGTGCCCGGGTGCACAGGCCCATGCGAGAGACCCTGTTCTAGGCGGAGCACCACACACCAACCATTCCCCCTGTTAGTAAGCATTTCCATAATAATTAATATTTAAACGCACCACCAAAAAAACAAACAAAATACAAAAGTACTATACCCACTTAATTGTCCACGAGTGTAAATTTGAGTTGTTTTATACTTGGTTGTCGGACTTTTGAGTAAAAGCTTTGGTTGTCGGGAGACTTCGAAAAATGCAGTTCGAAGTCCCTGAAGTACAAAAATTGATCTAAAATTAGGTTTAAAAGGGTTCGAAAACTGGGTAAGAACGGGGGCGCCACTATATTTCAGTTAGGCAAACAGTTAAAAAAAGCTGCTCAAATTACCCGCTCACCGAGGAGCTGCTCAGTATATTTATTTTGATTGCATACTTTCAGGGGCTACAGAATATTGGCTCGCTATTAAATTGTAGTATAGTTTTGTGCGGAAAATTCCGCCTACAAACATAGTTGACAAACAATATCAGTCAATGAGAAAATTAATATTCATTTGCTAACATTTTATATTTGGTATGCAGATTTATTAACAGCATAAAAACTAACAGACGACAGCTTTCTGAATTGAAATTAATGAAGTTTTGGCTTAGTTATGGAATTTTTAAACTTTGATTTGTATAAAAAAATGTATAATAAGAAACGTAAATATGTATGGAAAAATGCAATTTTGCCCGATTTCTGAACGCCATAAAATGGGCAAAAAGCCTACGATCGCCAAAATTCGTGTACCCTTCGATTCGCCATGAAAATCATAGTTAGATAATAAGAGAAAGTTGGGAAATAAAGCATTGGTTTGTATGAAAAATAATATAGAACAACAAACGTAAATATCTATGGAAAAATGCAAATTTGCCCATTTTCTGAACGTCATAAAATGGGCAAAAAGCCTAAGATGGCCATAATTTATATACTCTTCGATTCGCCATGAAAATCCTTGTTAATTAATAACAAAAACATAACAAAAAAAATTTTGAAAATTTTAGCAAATTTTTGAGAATTTTAAAAGGGGTTACATCATTAAAATTCTCGAAAATTGCCAAAAAATTTCATTTTCTAACATTTTAAATTTGGTATGCAGATTGATAAACCGCATCAAAACTAACACAGGACAGCTTTCCGATTTGAAATTAATGAAGTTTTGGCTTAGTTATGGAATTTTTAAACTTTGAATTGTATAAAAAAATGTATAAAAAGAAACGTAAATATGTATGGAAAAATGCAATTTTGCCCGATTTCTGAACGCCATAAAATGGGCAAAAAGCCTAAGATGGCCATAATTTATATACTCTTCGATTCGCCATGAAAATCCTTGTTAATTAATAACAAAAACATAACAAAAAAATTTTTGAAAATTTTAGCCAATTTTGAGAATTTTAAAAGGGGTTACATCATTAAAATTCTCGAAAATTGCCAAAAATTTCATTTTCTAACATTTTAAATTTGGTATGCAGATTCATTATCCTCATCAAAACTAACACAGGACAGCTTTCCGATTTGAAATTAATGAAGTTTTGGCTTAGTTATGGAATTTTTAAACTTTGATTTGTATAAAAAAATGTATAAAAAGAAACGTAAATATGTATGGAAAAATGCAATTTTGCCCGATTTCTGAACGCCATAAAATGGGCAAAAAGCCTACGATTGCCAAAATTCGTGTACCCTTCGATTCGCCATGAAAATCATAGTTAGATAATAAGAGAAAGTTGGGAAATAAAGCATTGGTTTGTATGAAAAATAATATAGAACAACAAACGTAAATATCTATGGAAAAATGCAATTTTGCCCGATTTCTGAACGCCATAAAATGGGCAAAAAGCCTAAGATGGCCATAATTTATATACTCTTCGATTCGCCATGAAAATCCTTGTTAATTAATAACAAAAACATAACAAAAAAATTTTTGAAAATTTTAGCCAATTTTTGAGAATTTTAAAAGGGGTTACATCATTAAAATTCTCGAAAATTGCCAAAAAATTTCATTTTCTAACATTTTAAATTTGGTATGCAGATTCATTATCCTCATCAAAACTAACACAGGACAGCTTTCCGATTTGAAATTAATGAAGTTTTGGCTTAGTTATGGAATTTTTAAACTTTGATTTGTATAAAAAAATGTATAAAAAGAAACGTAAATATGTATGGAAAAATGCAATTTTGCCCGATTTCTGCACGCCATAAAATGGGCAAAAAGCCTACGATTGCCAAAATTCGTATACCCTTCGATTCGCCATGAAAATCATAGTTAGATAATAAGAGAAAGTTGGGAAATAAAGCATTGGTTTGTATGAAAAATAATATAGAACAACAAACGTAAATATCTATGGAAAAATGCAAATTTGCCCATTTTCTGAACGTCATAAAATGGGCAAAAAGCCTAAGATGGCCATAATTTATATACTCTTCGATTCGCCATGAAAATCCTTGTTAATTAATAACAAAAACATAACAAAAAATTTTTGAAAATTTTAGCCAATTTTTGAGAATTTTAAAAGGGGTTACATCATTAAAATTCTCGAAAATTGCCAAAAAAATTCATTTTCTAACATTTTAAATTTGGTATGCAGATTGATAAACCGCATCAAAACTAACACAGGACAGCTTTCCGATTTGAAATTAATGAAGTTTTGGCTTAGTTATGGAATTTTTAAACTTTGAATTGTATAAAAAAATGTATAAAAAGAAACGTAAATATGTATGGAAAAATGCAATTTTGCCCGATTTCTGAACGCCATAAAATGGGCAAAAAGCCTAAGATGGCCATAATTTATATACTCTTCGATTCGCCATGAAAATCCTTGTTAATTAATAACAAAAACATAACAAAAAAATTTTTGAAAATTTTAGCCAATTTTTGAGAATTTTAAAAGGGGTTACATCATTAAAATTCTCGAAAATTGCCAAAAAATTTCATTTTCTAACATTTTAAATTTGGTATGCAGATTCATTATCCTCATCAAAACTAACACAGGACAGCTTTCCGATTTGAAATTAATGAAGTTTTGGCTTAGTTATGGAATTTTTAAACTTTGATTTGTATAAAAAAATGTATAAAAAGAAACGTAAATATGTATGGAAAAATGCAATTTTGCCCGATTTCTGAACGCCATAAAATGGGCAAAAAGCCTAAGATGGCCATAATTTATATACTCTTCGATTCGCCATGAAAATCCTTGTTAATTAATAACAAAAACATAACAAAAAAATTTTTGAAAATTTTAGCCAATTTTTGAGAATTTTAAAAAAAATTCTCGAAAATTGCAAAAAAATTTCATTTTCTAACATTTTAAATTTGGTATGCAGATTCATTATCCTCATCAAAACTAACACAGGACAGCATTCCGATTTGAAATTAATGAAGTTTTGGCTTAGTTATGGAATTTTTAAACTTTGATTTGTATAAAAAAATATATAAAAAGAAACGTAAATATGTATGGAAAAATGCAATTTTGCCCGATTTCTGAACGCCATAAAATGGGCAAAAAGCCTACGATTGCCAAAATTCGTATACCCTTCGATTTGCCATGAAAAGCATAGTTAGATAATAAGAGAAAGTTGGGAAATAAAGCATTGCTTTGTATGAAAATAATATAGAACAACAAACGTAAATATCTATGGAAAAATGCAAATTTGCCCATTTTCTGAACGTCATAAAATGGGCAAAAAGCCTAAGATGGCCATAATTTATATACTCTTCGATTCGCCATGAAAATCCTTGTTAATTAATAACAAAAACATAACAACAAAATTTTTGAAAATTTTAGCCAATTTTGAGAATTTTAAAAGGGTTACATCATTAAAATTCTCGAAAATTGCCAAAAAATTTCATTTTCTAACATTTTAAATTTGGTATGCAGATTCATTATCCTCATCAAAACTAACACAGGACAGCTTTCCGATTTGAAATTAATGCATTTTTGGCTTAGTTTTGGAATTTTTAAACTTTGATTTGTATAAAAAAATGTATAAAAAGAAACGTAAATATGTATGGAAAAATGCAATTTTGCCCGATTTCTGAACGCCATAAAATGGGCAAAAAGCCTAAGATGGCCATAATTTATATACTCTTCGATTCGCCATGAAAATCCTTGTTAATTAATAACAAAAACATAACAAAAAAATTTTTGAAAATTTTAGCCAATTTTGAGAATTTTAAAAGGGGTTACATCATTAAAATTCTCGAAAATTGCAAAAAAATTTCATTTTCTAACATTTTAAATTTGGTATGCATATTCATTATCCTCATCAAAACTGACACAGGACAGCATTCCGATTTGAAATTAATGAAGTTTTGGCTTAGTTATGGAATTTTTAAACTTTGATTTGTATAAAAAAATATATAAAAAGAAACGTAAATATGTATGGAAAAATGCAATTTTGCCCGATTTCTGAACGCCATAAAATGGGCAAAAAGCCTACGATTGCCAAAATTCGTGTACGCTTCGATTCGCCATGAAAATCATAGTTAGATAATAAGAGAAAGTTGGGAAATAAAGCATTGCTTTGTATGAAAAATAATATAGAACAACAAACGTAAATATCTATGGAAAAATGCAAATTTGCCCATTTTCTGAACGTCATATAATGGGCAAAAAGCCTAAGATGGCCATAATTTATATACTCTTCGATTCGCCATGAAAATCCTTGTTAATTAATAACAAAAACATAACAACAAAATTTTTGAAAATTTTAGCCAATTTTTGAGAATTTTAAAAGGGGTTACATCATTAAAATTCTCGAAAATTGCCAAAAAATTTCATTTTCTAACATTTTAAATTTGGTATGCAGATTCATTATCCTCATCAAAACTAACACAGGACAGCTTTCCGATTTGTAATTAATGCATTTTTGGCTTAGTTTTGGAATTTTTAAACTTTGATTTGTATAAAAAAATGTATAAAAAGAAACGTAAATATCTATGGAAAAATGCAAATTTGCCCATTTTCTGAACGTCATAAAATGGGCAAAAAGCCTAAGATGGCCATAATTTATATACTCTTCGATTCGCCATGAAAATCCTTGTTAATTAATAACAAAAACATAACAAAAAAATTTTTGAAAATTTTAGCCAATTTTTGAGAATTTTAAAAGGGG